CCCACCAGCTCAGCCTTGTCCTCGACTTGGCTTCCCCCACTCAGTGTCCACACATTTCCCATCCTGCTGCTCTGCTGTCAGCAAGCTTGACCAACACTCCAGGGAGGGAGGGCATGCTGCCAGCACCCCTACCTCACCCCAAAGCCCCCCAGCCATGGCAGCGCGGGCAAAGGCTGCCAGTGCACTCACAATGTTGCCTGTCTGGAGCATGGTGTCAAAGGCGAAGCTCATGCCATAGTGCTCCATGGCCATGAAGATGGTGTTCACCACGATGCACAAGGTGATGGTGAGCTCTGCAAAGGGGTCCGTCACAATCCCAAAGAGAAGTTCCTTGAGTTTCACCCAGGTGGGGCAGCACTCCCAGATCAGATACTTCTGAGCCAAGCTGGTCAAGCGGGGTGGGCACCTCTGTTTAGACTCCTCCAACTCTGCATCACAGGTATGGTCATTGACAGCTGTTAGCCAGGCATGGACTCAGACGCCCAACCCATGGCCATCCCCTAGACCTTGTCATTCCCAATAATGGCCAACTCCAGTCTCCACTGCAGCTCTCTCTCTCTCTCTCTCTGATGATCAGTTCCTCCTTTTTGAGCTCCTGTAGTCTAGCAAGTGCAACCCAATCTCTGTCCCCATTCAGTCCTTCAAACCAGGGACCCTATACTTTTTAACTGCCTATCGTGTAGGTCATGTCTTCTCAACTCCCCAACATAGATTTCAGGTCCACCCCTCTTTACACTCTTGCTGACTCCCCCATTCCCTCACCCTCTCCCTTCTCCATTGTGCTTGCCTGGTAAAACCCTAGCTTTGAATAAACCCAAGAGACAGAGGACTCGATACCTGCAGCCAACCAGCTGAACCACGTTGGAAAAAATACACAACCATGCCGACTGGTCCCAGCTTGTCACTGCCCAGAACTCCTGCCGCATTTCTCTATTTCAGTCAGTTCCTTCAGTCTTACAGACCAGCACTTCTCACTTCCTCCCTTCTCCTCCAACCTCCACCTCCTCCTCTCAAATCCTCGCTCTCTGCTGATGAGCTCCCTTTGATTTCCATCAGAATACAGAATCACGAGCATATGGACTTCCTTTTCTTCCTATTGCTGAGCCTCCAGTGAATCTGCAAGTCCATCCCCAGATCTGCCTCATGCCCCGCCCAGCGCATGAGCTGGCTCCACTCCTCCCACATGTGTAGGGGCCCCCCTTTTCTCACACCTACTCATGGCCTGTGTCATCCCCCTTCTCTCCCCTCTGGACCATTCCCATCATCATTCAAGCATGTTTTAGTTTTATCTCCACTTTTTAAAAGGTCTTCCTGGACCCCATGATATCCTTCATCAACTGTCCTCTGAACAGCAAAATTCCTTATGTGTTTGCTACACTTAACCTCCACTTTCTCACTTTCTGTTTCCTTCCCAGCCCCTGGAATCAGGCTATTATCCCTTCCAAATTCAAACCATCAATTTCTAGTCCTCACCTTACTCTGCCTCTCACAGCAGATGACAGTGTTTATAATGCTCTCTTTGAAACCTTCTGTCTATCTGGTCCAGGACGTCATGATCTCGGTTTTTCCTCCATGTCAGTGATCACTTCTCAATTTCTGTTCCTGTCTCCCTCTTCCCTTCCTGCCTTTAAATGTTGGAGAACTCAAGCATTCTCTCCTTAGTCTCTCTCTCTCTAGGTGATCTCATTGAGCAGCCTTAACAAATAAATCATCTCTATGCAGATTCTTCCCAAATTATATGTCAAGTTTCTGATCTCTTCCTTAGGATCCAGATTCACATCTCTAGCTGCTTCTATAAATTTCCACTTGGATGTGTAACTGGGGCCACCTCTATGGAGGTTAATTACATAGCTTTGGGTCTATCTATGAATTTCACTGCAAGATATACACACTGCAGATATACCACCTCTTTCTTTGTGGACCATTGTTTATAAGAACAAAAAAAGGAAACTAGTAAAATACATTATGAAAAAGGATGAGGCAGATATATTTCTGGAGATATAAAAAACTTTATATATATATAGTACACTGTTGATTGGAATGTAAATTGGTGCAGCTGCTATGAAAAACAGTATGGAGCTCTCTTAAAAATTTAAGAATAGAACTACCACATGATCCAACAAGGTCCATACACAAAGGAAATGAAACCGCTGTCTCAAAGAGATAGCTGCACTCCCATGTTTACTGCAGCATTATTCACAGTAGCCAAGATATGGAAACAATCTAAGTGTCCAACAATGGATGAATGATTTAAAAAGATGTGGTATATAAACACAATGGAATATTACTCAGCAACGAGAAAGAAGGAAATTCTGCTGTTTGCCCTTAACCATGAGGGCATTATGCTAAGTGAAATAAGCCAGACAGAGAAAGACCAATACTGATACTGCATGGTATCACTTATATGTGGAATCTTGAAAAAAAAAGGTCACGCTCAGAAAAGTGGTTGCCAAGGGCTGGGAGTAGGGGAAATAGGAAGAGTTTGGTAAGGGTACAAACTAGATTCAGCTGTAAGATGAATGATGTCCAAGGATCTAATGTATAACACGGTGACTGTAGTTGATAACACTGTATTGTATCGTTGAAATTTGCTAAGAGTAGAACATAAATATTTTCACCAAAAAAAAAAAGATAAATATGTGAGGTGATGGAGGTGTTAATTAACTTGATGGGGGAATCCTTTCACAACGTGTACTTAAATCATCTCAATGTACACTTTAAGTATTTTACAATTTTATTTGTCTATATCTGTATATACACATATTGTCTACTGGGTTCTGAATCTTATGCCCCCTAGATAGCTCTCAAATCCTTCCATTTCCCATCGTCCCCTCTGCCACTTCCCCAGAGCCCAGCCTCTGCCATCGCTTACCTGGTTTCCTCCTAACTGGTTTCCCTGCCAACAGTTTTCCCCTCTTAATTCCATTCTCTGCATGTATTCACAGTAACCTTTATAAAGCACAAATATAGCCCCTGCCTCCAGTCCTTTAATGGCACCTCACTGCTTTTAGGATGAAGTCCCAAGACCTTAGTACAGTGTAGGAAGTTCCGTGGGTCTGGCCCCAGGTGGTCCCTCCAGCCTTATTTTGAGCCCCTCTCCTCCTTGCTCTCTGTACTCCAGCCACATTGGGCTTTTTCATTTCTTCAAGTGTTACGTTCTTTTCTGCTTCAGGCTTTGGCTGTCCTTTCTGCCTAGAATACTTCCCCAACCCCAGGCTAAACTTTCCACATTTCCCTTAGCATTCTGCACTTCTCCCTCAAGATACTCAGCGTCCTGGTAATAACTTGTTCCCTGTCCTTCTCTCCCACTCAGCATGAGGGTACAGACTGGGCTGTGCTCACAGCTGTGCTCCTGCTTCTGGTCGTCTGGTCTGGACAGCTGTCCAGTCTTAGTTTGTATGCTGGCATACACGGTTCACGTGCCCGGAGCTCAGTGAACTGCCAAGTTCTTACTGGCTTGGGCCAGAATTTCTCAGGCACAAACACTCCCAAAGAGGTGACCTTTGTCAATCCTATCACAATTCTGACAGTATCAAGCAACCCTTCTGTATTCCATGGGCGTGGTGGATATAATGTCCAACCCAAAAGATCACAAGTCACCTGTCCTCTACTCAAAAAACTTTGATCTTTTTGACTTAACCTAAGGTTGTCTTTATCCAGATTCTTTAAAAAATGTCAGTGTTTCCCCTGCCTTTCCTAGTCTACTCTCACAGTATCTTCTTGGGGGAAAGTCTAACCTACTTCACATTATCTGACCATTTCTTCTTCTCCTGTTCATCAGCTCAAGTCATTATAAATTAGCATCACACCCCAAACATCACCTTTGTGCCTCATACTCATTCAACAACTGTTTGTTGAGTGCCTATGCTCTGCTCTTCTGGGACCAGAAATCCAGCTATGAGCAAATCTTTGCCCTTGTGGAATCTACAACCTAGTGAAGAACAGCCAGTATCTGCTAAGTATCTCCTCTTTGCCGGTAGCAGACCTAAGCACCTTCCTTACACTAACTCACCAACACAACACTGCAAGGTAAGTACATTTCCCCTATTTCACAGGTGAGAAAACTGAGGCACAGAGCAGCTGATGGCGCTTCAAGGTGGCACATCTTAGCAGAAGTGGCAAAGCCGGGATGCAAACCCTGACAGTCAGGCTCCAGGGCCTGTGTTCCTAACTCCCACCTCTGCTGCTTCTCATCCATCTCACCTCTTTAGTTCTTACCTCAGTTGGAGTGTGTAAAGGACATTTGTTTTGTTCATTTCTGTCTCATTCCTGCAAAATGCATTGCATTTGCTGTTCATCTGTCTGGAACCCTGTCCCCCAGGTTCTCATAAGGCAGATTCCCTTACTTCATTCAGATTTCTGGTCTCCTTGGAGAGCATGGCCTTCGGCAACCACCTTCTCTAAAACAACCCCTTCTGCAGCCCCTGTATTCTATATCCTTCCCTACTTTATTTTTTCTCCTATGTCTTATCACTACCTGAATATCTCTTTGTGTTCATTATCTGTAGACCCCAGCCCCCAGGATGGAGATTCCATGAACACAGGCTTCTATCTTGCTTACCAATGAATCCTCAACACCTGGAGCAATGCCAGACCCATAGCAGGCACTCAACAAATGTTTGTTGGGTGAATAAATGAAAAAAAGAGAGAAGGAGGGAGCTGGTAGCTCTCGGGAGTAAGTGAAAAAGCAAGCTGTTTGTATTTAACATTTACTGTTTGAGGGCTAACAGCAAAAAATGAAAAAAAATCCAAGCAACCTACCTGGCTAACAAAAAGTTGTGGGCATAGTAGCAGGGTGAAATTCTACACAGCCATGAAAAATGTTAGATGTGCAGACACCATCACAATGAGAAGTAATTATTGGTAGTTATCCATGAGGAAAAATAACATAAGTGAGTATGTACAAATTGTTTTCACTGGAATACGTACACATTTCTCAAAACTCAAACTCAGGTATGCAAGAAATATAACTTAAGGGTTTTTCCCCCACAACTGAATTCAATTCATACTGTGTCTGAGTTCTAGGGAGCTCAAGGTTCATAGAGGGTTGAACTGGTCCTTAGTCATTGCCAAATGTATTTCACTTGAGTCATCAACATTCTCATCTGGCCACTGGTGGGAGAGCCAGGGAGATGGCTGTTCCCTCTTTGCCTTTCCAGGTTCCCTCTTTGGCTCTCACTCATCTCCTTCAGTAGCCTTCAGTGGGAGCAAGGTCATCATCCAGCTACTCTCCTGTCATGCGGAGACCACAAGGCACCCTCTAAACAGCCTCAGATCATCTCTACTTGGGAACATTACTAGCACGTCCTACCCCACAGTTTCTGTCATGCTGGGCGTGTGGGTCTCTCTCTAAGACTTGCCACTCCCAGCTTTACCTAGACATTAAGGCACAGATTGGCTCTGTTTTCAAATCCCTCAAACATCTTTTTTGGTTTCTTTTGTCCACCATGCCCCGCCCTGCAGTTAGGATTCAGCCCAGGGCTCGGAGGGGAGACCACAGGACCCCTTCTCAGGGACACACCAACCTCCAAGCTCCCTTCTCCCTCCTCCAGCACAGGACATTTTACACTTGTCTAGGGCAGGTAAGTAACTGGATATGACTAAGGCCATATTTTTCATACACTGGGGCAAAACAAAGGTTGGATAAGAAGACAGGTCTTTTACTCAGGTGAGAAGGATGCAGCCATGCTCTCAGGGAACTTGATTGTCATGTAGTCGTTTTCTTTCTCCACCCACTTGACTTAGTGTAAGCAGCTGGAACTTAGATGCATCCCTGTGAAGACTGAGTGGATTCCCACTTGATGACAGAACCCTGAATTGACAAGGATTTAGTTAAATTGACTAATTAATTTGCTTAAATTGTCTTCCAATGCTCAGCATGATAGGGGCTTGAGATGGAAATTAAATTACAACCGTAAAAGTTACAGCCATGAAATACATCAGAATAATTTTTCTATATTTGAAAATTAAAGATTGTTAAATTTCTTGCATACCTGGATCACTTTTTCAAATCTACTTTTGTGAATACATATGAAACAGATGTTCATTTGAACAAGAGATGAACTACGGGATTTCATTCATTGGAGTCCATTGTTTTAAAATTTTTATCCACATTAAAAAACAGCCACATTGATCAAGGGTAACAGAGCCAAGGATATAAAAAAGGGGAGTATTTAGAATCTCAGGACACAGAGGCGGGTGCCCTTTGACACAGGTTTGGGAGGATCCATCTTCTGCTCATAGGGGGACTCATCATTGTGGCACAAAGAATGGATGTTCCAATGAGCAATACTTACCCTCGAGGACGGAGGTCACGACACTGACAACACTCAACGCCCTTTGAACTCGAAGAGATTCGTCTAAGTATTCCGCTGTTAAGAAAGTCTTCTGTCCTGCATCCAGTGCCTGCTGGGACACAAACAGAGTCAGGACACTCCCCCAACAGGAAGTCTTCTGTGGCAAGGACAGATCACAGCCTCTTACTGGCCTGGCTCAGGTGGTTGCAAGTTGCCCCATGAAGCTAAGATCCTCTGCAGTCATGCTTAGAGCAAAGGGGCCGATGCATGAACTTGGGGTAAGAACATGAGGAGCAGGACACAGAGCTGAGGTGCAGCCAGAGCCTGGGTTCGTAGCTAACAGACGACCCACGCAAAGTCTGCCCTTGGACAAGCACCTGGGTTCAGGGTGAGGATGGGGCTGCCTCAAGTGCCTCTGAGGTTTCTACCAAAGGGAGGTGAGAGCTGCAGGGGGATCGGGCCAGGCGGTCATTATTAGACTTCTTCTGGGCTGTGCATATGACAATTACACAAATTCCTACTCCATGACAGGCCTCCTTGACCTCCCTCCTAAGAGTCCTGTTTCTCTCGCCAACATCTGACCTAGTTTCAATTCCACCCCATCTCTTTCTTTCTGAGGGAATATTTGTGTCTTGATTGCCCATTTCTCAGTTTCTGACACAATCCTTTTGACTCTTCCCTCTCTGTGCCTTCACTGGAAGTTCTGTCTGGGTCCTGGGCTAGGCCTTTAACTCTGGTCACATGCACACCCTGGAGGTGGGGCGTCCCAGGCCCACAACAGCTGACTCAGCACTGCACAAACCATCCAGAATCCAAATTCAACAAACACTTATTGAGCACCTGCCACAGGTGAAGCTCATAGGTATACAGTCAGTGCTTGATAGATATACAGAAAGTTTGGAAAGTTTTCAACCATGAGGACTCAACTAAAGACACTAGCATCTGCTATTGTTATTGCTCTGACGCATATATAAATGGAGGCAATCTGTGATTCCATTTAACCTTTTAGCTATTTAGAAACTTTTTTTTATCAGGGGAGAAATGGAGGCTTGAAAAATTTAAGGGACTTGCTGAGGGTAATTCAGTAGGTAAATGGCATAGCTGTGATTGAAATCCCAGTCCATCTGACACGGAAGGGCTTAAGGAGTTATCTTGCCCTAGCCAAATAATTTCACTAAAAAAAAATCAAGGTCGGAATATCTAGGAAAGTAGTAATCTAGGCAGCGATAACAAGCTTTCTTGAATGTGGCGTTTTTGAGTGTTAAAGCACCTCCAAGAGAGCCCTGCAGCCTGGCTTTGACTTGAGGACTCTGGGTTGGTGATTCTCTGTTGGTCTATCCTCTACCATCTCTGTCCTGCTCTGTACCTGGGGATGGTGACTTGGACAAACTGCATCACCCTCACCCCCTGGTTCTGGTCAGGTTTGGCCAATGAGAGGCACAGACAGGAGATCAGACACTGGAAAGAGAGAGGAGCTGGCTATCTGTCAGCTGGCTTCTTCCCTGCTGGGCTGTGTCTGAGTAGTGGCTGTGATCCACCACCTCTGTCAGGCTGCCTCTCACACACAAGGGCAGTTCTCACTGGGTTCTGCTCCTTCCCCTCCGTCCTTCAGCCTAGGCTTGTAACACCTTCCCACTGTGGCTAGTCCCTCAGTGCCTCACTGCCCCTTCTTAGTTCTGGAGCCCAGCGCACACCTCTGTAACTACTTTAATAAGCTCTCTCCACTTGTCCACGGGAGTGTTCCATCTGTTTCTTGCTGGGACCCTGAATCCCAGGCATCTAATCAGAGATGGAGCAAAGGTAATTCTGTAAGACTTATCCAAGTCACTGGAGCCACAGAATGGCCAGCCTACAAGTCTGTTTGCAGTCGATTCTGTGTCCTGGGCTGGTCATAGGGCAAAAGAAAAACACTCGAAGCATCATTGCTGAAGCTGGAGGGAGAGTTTAAATTAAATCACAGCTCCAATCCAATGAGGAGTCCCTGACTTGCCATTACACTCCGTGATTATTCTATTAAGAGTGCTGGTCAGCTAGTCACTTTCGTCTAATTTGTGCATTTCAGCAACTTACTGCTTCTCCGAATAAAGCCAGGGATACTCTGCTTCAGCTAAGATCTGTCCAAGGCACCTTCCAAGATTTCTCTGAGTCTTAACTGTCAAACCCAGGGTAGTTTGTACAGTTACAGGCAAAACGAGAAGAACCTTTAATTTTTTCATACTCATCCAGGGAGAAAGCAGGCCTATCTCTAAAGTGGTGACAGTGAGAAAGGACAGAGAAACACTGGAGGAAAAAATGAGATCAGCTGTAAAATCATCTGTATCACTATAGTGCAGAGTAAACCAGAAAACCTGTTTGACCTCAGGGAAACCCAGTCTCTCCCTCTGGGTCTCACATGACCGGTCTGTAAAATGAGGGTAGATGGGAGATGTTGCGCAGAGTGATGTCTAAAGGATGGGTCCATAGGTGACACTCAGGGCTCCTTGGCCTGAGTCCTCTAACTGGAGAGCAGCCCAAAAGAGTCTGAAGCATTCCCAAACTCACCGAGACTTCGACGGCTCCAGGGGAAAGCTCACCAGTGGGCAATGTGGGGTGGCCATTTTCTCCATGCCCTGAGCCAGGGTTGAGGGTTTGAGGCAGTGGACTCCCAGGGAGGGGGCCTTGCTGGCTTGCACCCCTATCCAGCAGCAGAGAGCCCCGATGGCTTTCACGGTCTCCAGGAAAGATTCTGACATCTGTGACCTCATCAGGGAATGAGATGTCTCGGCCGATGGCCTGGAAATGGAACACACTGCCATGGCTAGCTCGGCGTCTTCCAGAGGTGAGGCCTAGGAAAGACTGGGCATGGCCCCAAAAGAGCCCAAAAGAAGGCAAGCTGGAAGGTCATCCTACAGGCAAATCTGGAATTCAATACTTCCCTCCACCCACTCCCATTTCCCTGCCTTTAGCTTCCCGACTTTCCAGTGGAAAATCAGACACAGACATAAGGGGTATTCTAGGTAAACATGTAGAGAGGACTGGAGAACAGAATATTCCTGATACAGTGCAGGAAAATGCCAAGAAAGATGAGAGACTGTAAGGTGCAGAAGATCAACAAATAGGTCATCACAGCCAAGGACATGTCAGAGGACAACCTTGTCACCCAGATGACAGTTGTTGGCCAGCCTTCTGCCATGGGGCTGGACCAAATTGTCTTAAGTTCCCTGCTTTAATGCAAAGTTGCGATCTCAGAAGACTTATTACACCAGGACAGGAACAAGCTTGGTAAATGGTTGTTGAATGAATGAGTGCTCTTCATAGTTTGAAAATTAGGTTCTACAATTCATCAGATCTAGCCTACAAAGGTGTGAGAGTTTGTGCCACAAAGGAGGAGACAACAGCTTTGTAATATAATGAGCTTCCAGGATCCCTTGAGGCAAACTTTGAACAGTCAACAATGGGGAGATTGAAGGGAGAGTTGCAGCCTAATTTCCTGGAAGAATAGCGCCATTCCTCCCAGTCAATAAACATTTCCCATCAAAATCTTCCTCTAAGGGAACTGTGTGGCTTACAGTTGCCAGAGGAAAGGAGCTAATTCACAGGGCCCAGAGCCCCTGGGGAGTCAGTATGCTGGGTTGGCTAGTTCCCGTGACCACTGTGCGAACCTGACCACAACAAGTTACCAATTCTGTCTTCAGGTCATAGAGAGTGTTTCTAAAATCTAAACACTGACTTCCTATCAAACTTTGATCATACAGCTGAATTTCCCTCCCTTCCTTAATTCATTTTATTTACTAAATTACTGACGTTGAGACATTTTGTTAATTAAAGTCCTCCATATTTATTCCCCTCTCCCACATAACTGAGGTTTGCTTTCTTGATAATTGGGACCTCAGTCCTCTATGAGAACTAACACTGTAATTTGGTATTAAAACCACACACTCTTCGCATAGAATATATATCTAAGGCCCATGAGTTCATAAAAATCCACGAATCCTTCCTACTTTTAAAGCAAAGGAACAGAATTGGCAAATCCTTACTAAAGATGGGACAACTGAGCTATTTGCACTTGGGCACTAAGCACACTAATAAAGACACTAAGCAGAAAAATTTGTTGTTGAATTAACCAAGACACAGTTCCTTTTTCCCTTTGAAGGTAAACTTAGCAGTAAAGACAAGCACATAAACACACAGAGAGCAAACAATTATTGGACATCCAAGTGCTAATCTATGTGGGGCTGACTGAATGGGAGAAATTAAAGCCCAATTCAGAATGTCACTGACATTTCCATGGAAGCTGTGATTCATCCTGTTCTCTGATTGTCCGAGCCCTACTCAAAACCCCTCTGTAACAGCTTCTGAACTGTGCCCTGTCTATGCCAGGTGCTGCTCAAAAGAGGCAGAGCAAGGCCAGGAAGGGCACAAATACAGACTCTAATAAATGCTGAAGCGTGGGTGTCACCAAGGCCAGTGCACATGTGAGCGTGTCTGTGTACGTACACGCACACATCAGTCTGGGGGTTTTAGAGGTTGTATTCCAAAAAGTAGGGAAAAGAGAAGTGAGCATCAGCAGGCCTGAAAAATATCCACGTTGATCCCCTTCTCCATACGATTAGTGTGGGACCTACACTACCACAAAGGGGTTATTACCTCTCAGGCGTGTAGAAAGGGTCTATTGGAGTACACGGGACTTTCGAGGGAGAGGGAGCTGGCAGGAGGAAGCTTGATGAGCCCAGGGATCTGGGAGTAGGAGGCAGAGGGTTATGACGGTGGGTAGAATCACTACAGGGTCTGAAGTGAGGTACCGGAGTTATTCCTAGGCTGGACTGTATCACAGAGGTGGGTGTGTGCTGGGATCTCTTGTGCCAACAGTAGGTGAGAACCTGAGCTGCGGAGGCTGAGGCATGAGGTCAGAAAGCAGCTTGTAACTGATTTCAGCACAATGAACAACGACCCCCTTTCCTGCTCCAGAACTGCTGATCAGAGTGTCAGAAGGAAGCCAACCCTTGATGTCCACACGTCCACAGACACCTCAAGGTCAGCATGTTCAAGGTCACCAACTTTCCTTACACCTTCCCCACCTTCCCACCTTCCCTACCTTCCTCCTGTGCTTCTGTCTTAGACTCATCACCTACTTAACTGCCCAACCTTGAAACCTGGAGTCATTTTGGACTTCTCCCTTCCTGTTCAACATTCCACAGTCTCAGCCTTGTTGACTCCCCTCAGCCCCCATAAAAGTCTTTATAATCCACCCTTCCTCCATCTTGCTCCTGTCCTAGTTTAGGCTACCATTTTGGGGTGGGAATCTGGATTATGAAAATATCCTCCTAGTCTTTGTGCCTGCAGCTATCTCTGGCTACAAACCTCTTCCCATGTCAAAGTATTATCCATGGCAGCTGCAAATGTGGGCGATCTTTAAGGCACAACCCTGAGCCCCTTACCATTCGGTGCTGGTTGTAAGGCTCAGATTGGAGTGATCTGTTGTCGTCTGTGGAGCCCTCTGACACCCTTGGCTTCAGTATATGCCTTCTCTCACTGGCATTTATGGAGGTTAAAGGTGACCCATTGTAGGATTGGAGAGAGGCTGTGTCAACCCCCAGTGCTACCAGCACCTGAAGAGAGAGAACAGCAAGTGTAGCCAACAGTATCTGGTTGAACTTAGCATAAATGTATGTCCCCCCCAGACCTGGGGTGTCACAGAGATGAGAGCATCTAAAACAGAGGAGGTCAGGATGAAGACCTGGGTGGTGGTGGGACTGAGACATGGCAGCAAGAGCCACCTCTGGGTCACCTCTGTCATTCATATCCTGTAGATTCTGTTGATACCCTACCCAGATCTCTTTTACCAGGAAAGTACACTCATCTCCAGCGATTTGAACATTACCTACTAATGGGTTACAGCTACAGCCTTCCCCAGACAATTTCCTTTGACTGCATATTTGGCTGGGGCCAGTATAAGGGGTAAAAAGGGCTAGCCCTCTTGCCTCAGGGTGGAGCTAACTCTGGTAGAAGTCATGCCCTGGAGCTCCCCATGGAATCAGGCTGAAGGTAGTCTTTAGCTGAGATCACTTTCTTGTTTAATTCTTCCCCTGTCTCATCTTGTTTCCTTCACTCCTCTCCTGAGAGCACCCCTCAATGAATCACTTCCACAAGCTCTTCATTCATATTCTTTTTTGAGACAACCTAACCTAAGATGAATCTTCCTACAGTTCCCTAAAATGTCAGGCTTAATGTAAGAGGCTGGTCCAGATCTCTGCCCAAGGACATACAGTCTGCAATTGACTCCACAAAGATCCACCCCTAACAGACCTCTTGTTCCTTCCGGAGCAACTTGAGGGCCTCTTGGAAGTTCTTCTCCTTGGTTTCAGTTTCATCAATGGTTGCCTGGTTCTGCTCCTCATATGCCATGGTGACCACAGCCAAGATCAAGTTAACCAGGTAGAAAGACCCCAGGAAGATAACAAGCACGAAAAAAACCATATACATTTTCCCAGAAGCCCTCAGGGTCTGAAGATTCAAAAGAAAGAAGAGAGACATGTACCCAGAGAACATGGGCCTCTGACATGGTCAGGGTTCTCCAGGAAAACTGTAGTCAAGCAGACTTAGAGATGATCACACTAAGTGAAGTAATATAGAGAAAGACAAGTATCATATGATAACACTTACATGTGGAATCTAAAATAAGATGCAAATGAACTTATTTATAAAGCAGAAACAGACTCATAGACATAGAAAAGAAATTTATGTTAACAAAATAAAAGGGAAGGGAGGGGAGGAATAAATTAGGAGTTTGGGATTAGCAGATACAAACTATTATATATAAAATGACAAACAACAAGGTTCCTCTACTGTGTAGCACAGGGAACTATTTCAATATCTTATAATAACCTATAATGGAAAATAATATAAAGAAGAGTTTATGTACACACATACACACACATATATGTATAACTGAATCACTCTGCTGTACCCCAGAAACTAATGCAACATTGCAAATCAACTATTACTTTAATTTAAAAAATTTTTAAAAATCTTAAAAAAAAATGTAGCCATGCATACAGCCTTCATCTCAGTCTGTATGGGGACAGGCAGATCAGTACCTGCTGGTAGAGGCGTTCCCAGGAATCCTGTGTCATGAGGCGGAACAATGAGAGGAAAGCCCAAGCGAAGGAATCAAAGCTGGTGTAGTTAAAATCTGGGTTGCTGGATGTTTTAAGGCAGAAATAACCCTCAGGGCAGTGGCTGTAGCAAAAACAGAGACGGTCATCAGTTTCACAGCCTCCTAAGCTTACTGGGGGCAAAGCAGCCCAGGGCTGTGGGAAGAGCACAGGGTTTGAAGTCAAAGACTGGAGTTCAGGGACTAGTCTTCCTTCTATTAGCTGGGTGACCTTGGTCACTCAGTCTCTTTAGGTCTCAGTTTCTCTTGCCCATCAAATGGGGATGAGGAAATGTTTACTTCAGGGTTTCATGTAGAGGGAAATGCCTTGGAGAAGGCTAGTTGGCTGCCCAGACATGATCCCATAAGGTGGAAAGCTCTTCGCAAATTCACACCAGATGAGGGAGAATCAGTATCAATAATGCAGACTTAAAACCTGAGCCAGCTGGCATCACCGGCAGAGTTGTCTTTGAAAGGAGGACTCACATTAGCCAAGTTCAGTGACCGATTATATGTAACAAAGAAAACAACTGTCACTTACTGAGCATTTACTGTGTGCCTCTCTCTCCCCTAAGTGCTTTACAAATGCTGTAATTGAATCATCGCAACAATCTTTTTTTTTTTCTTGCAAATGTGGAAGCTGGGGTTCAGAGAGAAGTCAGTTGTCTAGGACCACACAGATGTCAATGGATTTATTTAAAAGGAAAACTATAACCGTCAAGTAGCCTATGAAGACTGACCTATGAAGGAAGGCCAGATTGAAGATGATTGTTTGGTAAGTGCTGGGGGGGGGGAGTGCCGTACTGCTCTCTCTCTCATAATAAGGGGTGAGTTGATGTCGTGAAGTATCTCTAAGCTCAAGGCATGTGAGGTGCTCTCCTCCACCCCAGTGGGATGGTCTGTTTAAGGGAACAGTAATGCCTTTTTTGAGGTGCAGGGTTCTACTTTAGGATTCCTCCACCAACACCAATCTTATTCCAGACATCCACGCAAACATACAATCTTGGGACCCATACAATCGATTAGGGCCAGACAACTTGATTATAACCAAATCCCTATTCTATCCCCAGCCTTGGTTGGAGATTTGTGAGTCCCAGACTCTGTGGACCCATATTTAAAGACAGTCTCTTGGTTTTGCTCTCCCAAGGAGCTAGTTAACCTGTAGGTTTGGTAATTAACTCCAAGGGCAGCCTATTTCTACATCTTCTGTAGAGTCCCCCTGTAGCTGCTACACATCATCAGCTAACTGCTTTGAGAACTAAATGAGACTGAGGTGCAAAGGTTCTTGCAAAGTGCCTTCAACACAGTAAATATTATATGCAAAATGCAAAATTAAAATTCTTGGTGTTTTTAACCTGAAGCTACCAAAAGGATGGACTGGAATAACATATGTGAAAGAATGCTGAAAATCATCAAGTATTTCCTGGTACTTGTTCTCCACCTTGAGACCCCAGATTTTCTTTCTACAGTGCCACTGGTCAGGGTGGGCTTTTGCTCAGGGCTCTGGCTTTTCAGAGGATCAGCACAATACCCGGGTTTGGTATTGACAGCATGCCCGTTAGGGCTCACTCCACCCATCGTCTGACCTGGCCTCTACTTGACATCCCAGCCCAATCCATTCCTGTCTCACGTGACCAGGGCCTACCCAGCAGGGTATCTGGTCTTTCTCAGAGCTTGGATCCCAGGAACCGATCCATGGAGCTTGGAGACCACAGACAGGGCTCGTGCTACTGTGGAACCATCCTCATGAGAAATGCCATTATTCAGACAGGAAAAGGACACTGAGGGGCCCTCGGTTTTGATTTTAAGTCAAAGGCAAATGAAAACTGACCTCAGAACATCCCTCTCTCTGAGCTCAGGAACCAAATGCCAACTGCATTTGTGAAGAAAGAGGCCAAGGGGCCCATGATGCTCAAATTCTCCTGTTTGTCCCAGCGCTCAGCTCTAGCTGAGATTGTTTTCCTAGTGAGCTGATTAGGGCAGAACTCCATGCAGGTCCCACCCAGCTCCACTTGCACAGTATAGTTCTGTTGGCCACTCGGGGAGCAAGGTCATGTGGGCTTGGGGTTCCAGACGCCCCCACCATGGAGATTCGGGAGATGAGCCTTTCCGATCTGCTGCCTGATCTCTCTGCTCATGCCTCCACCTGTTGTCAAGGCAGCAGGCAGACCTGAGGAGTCCCCTACCCCTTTGCTTTGTCTCACATTCTGTTCTGCTACCTGGAATGGCTCTGTGCAAACCCTCTCGTGCTCACCCAGCCTGGAGACATCCCTTCAATCTCACTTCAACCACCACCTCTAGGAAACCTTCCCTGACATCCTTCCTGCTTCACACCATCATCTTGCTGTGTTTCCCCAGCCTGTGGAGCTTCTAGGACAACCCTGGATCTCCACAGTATAGCATCTTTATGTATGTGCATCAGAGCTCACAAACTGGCAGATTTCTGGCTGTTTTTGCACTGCTGAAACATTTTGTTTGGCCCACAATATGCAGACATTTTTGGAATTGGTAGCCAATGTTTATAGTTAGGAGAGTTCACATAAAATTCTAAATCTCCCATCTCTCTTTTAAGATTTGGAAGGTTTGGAAGCAGTGGACCCACATTTCCACATGACTTCCAAAAGCTGGACTGGTCAATGGCTACCCCTTTAGATGCGGCATGAACTGTCATTGCCGTGGTTCCCACCCAGCCTACTCCTCACATTTGTTGTTATGTGTCTGGCTTCTATAAGGACTTGAGATTGCCAAGTCTGATGCATGTGTTCTTTCCTCTGTTATGTGAGGATAATAAAACCCATGTGATGAAGTTGTGATAATTAAACATACAGCATCTGACACAAACCATATTTAATAAATATTGGTTCCCTCCTGGGGTAGACTGTTTGCAAAAATGATTACAATTATTCCCCTCCCTGTACCCATATCCCTTAGAAATGAGATGTTGCAGGTTCTCCCATCAAGAGATAGAGTCTGTTTCCCCCACTGCTTGGGTCTGGACTGGCCTGTGCCTTGCTTTAGTCAATAGGATGCAGTAGAAGTGACATTGTGCCTTGGCCTCAAGAGACCTTGCCCACTTCCACTCTTTCTCTTGGAATCCTGCCTCCACCATGAGAATAAGCCTGGGCCAGTCTGCTGAGGGATGAGAGAACAGATGGAGAAGAGACAAGACACCCCAGCTGAGGCTCTCCTAGATCCGTTGGACCCCTGCTAATCTGTTCACTCTGTAGATGCATAAATGAGCCCAGTCAACGCTAGAAGAGCATCAGGCTGATCGCAGCCCAATGTGCAGATGCACAGAATTCTGAGCTAAATAAATGGCTGATGTTTTAAGCCACAGAATCTTGGAGGTTGTTGGTTATACAGCAAGCACTAACTCATACACTCCCTCTCCATGAGCCTGGGATGGCAGAGGCCGTGAATCATTAATTTCTACATCTTCCTCAGGACTTGCAACCCAGGCTTCACCCATAAAGAGCTGATGGCAAGAAGAAGGAAGGGCTGCTAGGCATTGTGCTTTGTCATAGGTTGGACACTCACCCTGAATCAGATCCATAGCCACACAGTAAAGGATCAGAGGTGCCTGGTTTGTTTTTGTAGAAATCTGCAAAATAAAGGAAGACGTGAAAGCCTCATATAGGGTTTTGAACCCTCAAGTCAAGCCTTGAGTGGTGAAAGCAACACTGGTTGAGTCTTCTGCCCAAGCAAGGCGAGCTCCTTTGGCTGTCTGCCCTCAGTGGACAAGCCTGAATGCAGGGAAGGGAATATGTCTCATCTGGGAAGAGAAAAGCTGGGGACTGGCTTCAGCTCTGAGCCTCCTCCAGAAGAAGCAAAATGACCTGTCCCTGGATTTACAGCTCATTTCCTTATAAAAGGGACACTGGGCAACAGAAAACGGGTGGCCCCTAAACTAAAACCCAACTCAGGAGAAGCATTTCAGCAGGAAAGAGGGATCAAAATATATGTCTGTACATGGATGCAGGTCCTTAACAACCCCGGCCAACCAGATCTTGATCCCTACAACAGAAATTTCACTTGCGTTTTTCGTGAGAAGAATAATTGGCTGTCTCGTTGACAGCTGTGCAATTCTTGACACATTTGTTCTTGAGGTTGCCCTTGAAGAGCTGCAGGCCGACCAGGGCAAAGACACTCAGGCAGAAGACGGTGAGAATGGTCACATCAGCCAGCTTCCTCACTGAGTGGATCAGGGCCCCCACGATGACCTTCAGCCCTGTGGGAAGATGACAGCGATACTCCCACGTGGATGAGATGCCACACACAGAGCACACGTGTGTGCCTGGCACGCTTGCATCTTAGCTGTCCTACCCTCTCATCACGTACGGGTGTGAGGTGTTTTGCAAACTGGCAGCTCCAAGCCCAGTTCCTCATCTGAACTTTACAATAAACCCAAGAAGCAGGCAGGTGGAGATTACTGTCCCATTGTAAAAATGAGGTAACTGAGACTCAGGCAATGCATTTTTAAAATCAGTCTGAAGCTAATAAATTTTTGACAGTAGCGATTCAATTTAGAAACTAATCGTTGAGTACCTGCTGTGTTCCCGGCACTGTGCTGCGGGTAAGACTACTAACTTCACTCCAGTCATTTGGTATTTGTTTTTCTGTCCTCATCTCAGTCCTGGGAGGCAGCTTGAGGCTGGGGACACATGAACCTCAGTGCATGTATGCATGTCTGTGTGTGTGTGTGAGAAAGAGAGAGAGGTGGGAAGGAGGAGGAGGGGGAGGAGGAAGAGAAGAGGAGGAGAGGGAGGAAGAGGGGTGAGGGAGAGACACACAAGGGAGATAGAATGAGACAGAGACACAAAGACACAGAGAGATGAACACAGCAATAAAGCGAGGCCATGAGAGACACCGAGAGTCACTGAGGCAGAAAAAGACTCTGAGAAGGAGCACAGCTGGTAGCAAAGATGGGGCCCCTGCTTGTTTAAAGAAGGATGATTTTTTTGCTCTGGCAAAGGAAATCACCTTCTTTGGGGAAGCAGCTCCACAAGTAGCAGAAAGAGCTGTCTGACCAGGGAAGCAGGTGGCGAGCTAGCCTTGCCTTGTCATTTTGGTCAGCAAATAACCCACTGAGTACCCCCTGGCCCATGTGGTCCCTGCCTGGGAGCCAAGCAATTGTTAAGGCACTGGCGTGGGGTGGTGTATGCAGTGAGGGGAAACTACATCACTGAGCAGGTGGGCACACTTAGGAACAGCGCTCACAGAAGCCTGGGGCTGGGGTGGGGTGGGGTGGGGTAGGATTTGGGGAAGTTAGGGGAAGACCAGGCAGTCTCCTTGAGGAGGTCAGACCATGGCAGAGCCCTGAGGATGAATATGGGTTGAATGAAGAGAGGAGGAGGGATCCTCCTGACAGAAGAGCAGCGTGGCCAAAGGCTGGAAGATGAGCAAAGGCACGGAGTGTTTGTGGAACCACAAGCTGATTCTGGAAGGTGATGCAAGGTGGTTGGTAGAGGAGAGAGATGACACAGGAGGAGGGTCTGGAGAGGCCAGGTCTGGTGCACAACACTCAAGGTCTTCCTGGCTAAGAGTTGGTGAGAGAGACACCAAGCAGCAGAACTGACTACTCATTGCTATGATTTTCTTCATGAAGAATCTTCCCCAGTAGACCTTGAGCTTCATTATATGCTCACTGTAACACGTTAGCATGATAAATAACATGCCCACAGGTGTCATGACAGTCCCAAGGCTAACCACAAAAGGTCAAAGAGTGGGCTGCAGCCCACTTCCTGGGAATCCCAGCCCCTTCCACAGGGTAGCTGGAATACTCCTCCCACTTGTAGGCGTGGAGCTACTGAGCCCATAAAAACTGCCAACACCACGCCTCATTGCTGCCTCTTTTTGCTCCCTCATATTTGGAGGCAGCCCGCACTCTGTCTATGGAGTGTGTACCTACTTTTACTTTAACCCGAGCTCCTAACCCCCACACCTCGTGGCCTTTCTCTTGCTTTACACTCTATGCAGTACGTATCTCTGCAAATAAATCTTTTATTCAACTGTGTCTCGCTCTTGAATTATTTCTTGCACGAAGCCAAGGACCCACACTTGGCAGGGCACGTCCCAGGGACTCAACGGAGACCTGGGACATGGCCCTCCTCACGCCCAACATCTGTTTTTCCTGCATCAGCAACAGAGATCTTGGCGCCCACTGAGATGAACTCGGCTGGACTACTTTGGTTGCTGAATTGTCCGTAATCAAGAATTGCCTAATTATTTTCTCTTCTGTAGGATCAAAGACAGGGCTGAGGCTCAAACTTTCAGATTCTTGGAAATGGTGAAGACACTCACCAGACACTGCCTTTTCACCTCTTCCCTGTTTTCAAGTTTACACTTTTGGTGTAAAGTATAAATGAGAATCTGACTAGAGGCTTGCCTGAACCCCCTAAATGCAAACATATAACGAGGACGTGGCTGTCTCATCATTTACTGATGGTGAGGTCATGTGTTCTATGGACAGAGCGTTGGTTAGGAACTGGGATGTGAGGTTTCCAGGTCATACTTCGCCTTTAGGGATGAGGATTTGGGTTTTTGTCTTCTACTCTCTGGGCCTCAGTTTCCTTGTCTCTCAAATGGGGACAATAGTCCATGCCCTGGAATTTTATGGGGCTTTTGTGAAAATCAAAGCAGGCTGTGGAAACAACACACACTCTATGAATAAACATGCTGGTTTAAAGCAGCTCACCCGGGATCACAGACACCGTCTTTAAAGCTCTAAGAACTCTGAATGTCCGCAGGCCCGAGATCCCTCGGCGATCTATTGCTTCACATATGTATCTGTAGGACCAGAACTCAGTCAGCAACTCTGTAAGAAGAGGGTCTTGGGGGAATTCATGCGGCATAAATAAGTAAGAACAACGTTGGGTAACATGAGCCTAGGAAGGACCCAGAACAGACACTGAGAATCTACTAGCACTTCTACCTATAGACTGAAGCCGACATTAACTTAATTATGGCACTATTTTCCAGAATGGCCCCTTTGAAAAGATGCATTATGATCTAGGAGGCTCCGTGGGCTACGGATGGATGGATGGATATTCTAGCATGCAGGTGTGGCCAACCAGTCTCGTCAGGCCCTGGTTCCTCAGGGAAAGGCCTTCACGTCTGGTAGGTACAAGGCTGAGCCTTGTCTGATTCACTCTGGCAGGCCAGTTATCAGCTCAGATCTGAGGTCTCCAACTTCTCCCCAAGGGTGTGGGACTAACCTTGGAAAATGGCTCCCAGAGCAATAGTCTGTGTCAAAGAAACCCCTGGCCATGCAGTCCCGAATAAGGAAGCTGAACAGAGATAAGGGGACATTCCCAGAGTGGAAGCCTGGACACACCGACAAGCCCCACACAGACATACAAACAGATCAGCATGGAGAAACACTCACGCCAGGGTGATGACACTAAAATCCAGCCAGTTCCAAGGATCCCGCAGGTAAGTGAACTCATTTAGACAAAATCCTCTTGCCAGTATCTTTATCAAGGCTTCAAAGGTATAAATGACAGTGAAGACATATCTGGAAGGGAAGGTGGAAAAGGAGTATTAACTGTTCCTTGGAGAGAAGTCAAAGGGAGCATTGCTGTGATGGTTCCAAAGGAAAACACGTGAAGATTATCACCGAGGAGGGGAAGGGGAAGAAGGGAAGGCAGGGAGGTGAGACACAGACTGAGGAACTCAGGGGAGGCACACAGATGCTGGAGAGTCAGGAGGAGGGATGGGTGTGGCTGAGATGACTGGCAGCATCTGCTGCTCAGAAGGTAGGCAGAGGCCAATGACCGGCAACCACTGCAAGGTTCAGAACAAAGTTTCTTTAATTCTGTGAGGTTCCCCGAGGCTCCCTGCCCTGAGTGAGGGAAGCTGGTAGCTCCTCTCTCAATTTGTTGACTGCTGAGGATTTGGCGGCGGAAGGAGGCTCTGCTATATCCCTCCTCTCCAAACTTTGTTACTTTCTCACTTCTTCTCACCCCATGCTTGGTCTGCCGGCATTTCTGGCTTCAGGGATCCCAGTCTAAGAGCCACAGAAGGCAGTAAACAGGTAGGTGCCATGGAAGAAAAAAAGCATTTAAATTCACAAACATTTTCTCAGGAAGATGGATCCTGTTAGAGGAAGTCATCTCAAAATAGCCTTTGTATCATGCTGGGCACTTTGTGGGTTTGGATTTGAAGTGATGGATTAGAAGCTGAGCTTAAGAGGAGGGCCGTATTTCTCAAATGTTCAGAATCCCTCAGTCACTAACAGCAGTGGTTCTCAAACTCTAGCCTGCATCTGACCGACTACCTGATGGGCTTGTTCAAATGTAGATTTCTGGGCTGTACCCCAGAGTTTCTGATTTGATAAGTCTGGGGTAGGGCCTAAGAACTTGCATTTCTCACAAGTTCCCAGCAGCGGCTAATGCAACTGACCTGGAGAACTACCCTTTTAGAACCACTGACCAAAGGAATTTGGATGCATGCATAAATCACACTTAATTTTGGCTACATTAAAAAAATCTTTGTAAACACTGTATTATGTTTCATACCAGGTAACACTGGTATAAAAAATGAAGACTTTTGATTAAGTATGGCAGATTGAACCTTATGTATTTACACCTCTATCCTTTCTGAAATCCTTCTTAAAGGTAGTGAAAGGAATTTTTTAAAAAGCATACATTCACTAAGACAATGATAACGGAGAGCACAACAGCATTTTGGAAATTAGGAGTTAGGACGGATGAGTGGTAACTGACAGAGCAGACCCTAGAAAGCTGAAACCTTAGCTGGAAGGAGGGAGTCAGAAGCAAGGCAACCCACACCGCAGAGCTTCTTAGGACTTAGGGATGCTAAACACCTCTGAAAGTGGGGTTTGGGGAGATGGTGGCAAGTGGGGCTGAAAGGGCAGTTTAAAAGTCTTCACAAGAAGTGTAATAGGGAAGAACAAATCTGACTCCGTATTAGATCTGTTCCTTCAGCTCTAACCCTGGGCTGCTTCTTATGCTTAGTTATACTGGCTCTGCACCTTTTGTAAAAGAACGTTGCCTATAGCCTGGAATATGCAAGACAGCCCATTCCCAAGGCTCTGATCGTGAAGGGTCTGACACTTTCCCATCCATACAGAGATACAAAGTTGCAGGACAGAGAATGGCCTTTGTCTTGGTGGTGGTTTACGGGGACACCATAACCTGACCAGCTGCAAGAACAAAGGATTCCAACACCAAGAAAACCAACCACGCCCCTTCCCCTTTTTAGTGTAAAAGTAACTTGAATTCCGACTTGGGTAAGATGGTGGTCTGGGACATTAGTACCCTACCTTCTCTGCCCCCTGGCTTTCCAAAAAAAAAAAATTATTTCTTGCCTTAACACCTGTCGGGCAGCAAGCAGAAAGAGTTTGGACTTGGTAACAAATTTGGGGGAAGCCAGCCGGGGGCCCTGCTGTTCATGGCCAGCCAGCCCTGGTTGGGGAATTTTGGAGTAAGGCTCTAGCAGCTTCTGGGACCAACTGTTCTGAGGATCTTCCCTTCAGAATTCCTGGAAGCAGCACCGGCTACCCTAGTGCTTGGCAGTTAGAGCAAGAAATTGGCATCTGGGAGCCGATGGGCTCCACACAGTAGGGTGAGTCACTTCAGTGTGGACAGCCGGAAGCTTCATTACTTTCCATTTGGGTTTTTTTTTTCCCCTCCAGAATAAGCCAATTTCGTTTTGTATTTGAGTGGGGTACCCTGTTGGAGAGAGGAAATAGTTGTTAGACTTTTACCTGATTTATGAGCTGGTTCATTTGTTTCTTTAGATGCTAGCATTTGTGTGCACTGTTTGTGTTTTGTTTGCCCTGTATTTCTGTCTTTAAAAAGTGGGGAATATTTCAACCATCCCTACGGAAAGTCTTCTGAGGTGCATTTTGGATAAGTGGTCTGATTCCAGCTACGAACTCACGCCTAAGAGGAAGATGAAAAATGTGTGGCCGTAGTACCTGTTCGGATCCTCACAAGCGGTTCATGCAGGTTAATTCCCATATGCTGCCAACCTTGCTGTGTTGATTACACCATTTGTGGTCTCCTGTGTCCTTGGTATATGGAAGGCCCAATGGTGGTAAAGAAATGGCTTAAGATTGTGGCAAACCCAGGAATACCAGTCCCACATATCCAGCTGGTAAATTAAACTTCTCCAAAAGAAAGAGGGACAATATAGGATAGGGTAAGCCGAAACATGAGCTGAGTGAGGTGATGATGGAGGATATAGGGCAACCTTGGGTAAAGTGATGAGCTTCCAGAATGAGTGTTTCCCTGTTGTTTCACACTTTAAAAGCAACATCTATCAATGTCTCCAAACTGAGGGATCTAAGTATTCAGTTAAAAACACCCAAAAGTATTCAGGAAAATGAATGAAAAAGGCTCATATCAAGGCATAACATCACAAAATTTGGGAACATTGTACACAAAGAGATCCTAACTTTTTTTGAGGGAGTGAAAGTCACAGCTCATATATAAAAAAGATTGGAAATCAAAATATCATCAGATTTCTTAATAGCAACCTTGGAAGTTATAAGACAATGAAACAATGCCTTGAAATCTTTGAGGAAAATAATTTCTAATATAGAGTCTCTTTTCCAGTTAAACTGCTTAGATAAGGGTAGAATAAAGATATGCCAAGTCTTAGAAAATTTACATCCCACCTACTCGTCCAAGACAGTTACTAGAGAATGTGCTCCATCAAAAACAAGGACAGAACCAACAAAGAGGAAGACACAGGATGCAGGGGAGTGACAAATGGAATCCAAAAGATTCCATAAAAGAGCTGTGAATCAGGATCAGGAAACATCTAGACCAGACTGAAGCAGGAGGGGGGAACTATAAGGGATTTTCCCAAGAAATATGGAAACTGATGGATAACCTGATGTGTTCAAGTAAACTGAAGCAATAGTTAAACGTCTGGAGGAGAGTTTGGGTACAAAAGAGTGATACATATATAGAAAACTGAGCAAATGAAGAAATGAAATCCTTCCTAACTCCACAGAAAGTAAAAACACTATGCAAAGAGGAAATGTAACCAAAGTACACTGCATGATACAGCTGTGAATAATATTTACTTAGCAATACAATTATATGGTCATATATGTAGTCAGACTGTGCATGTTATCAGGTTATCTAACAAAAAATTATAACTATAATGGGAAGGTGAGTGTGAGAGGAAATGAGTGGTGTGTATGTGGACTGAAGTTTTTCCCTCATAACAAAAAGCTAACAGATAATATCTAACATGGAAAAATAAAAAAAATAGTAGTCTGAGTATATTATTAGAGATAGGGAGGTATCAGAAGAAAGCAGTAAAAAAGCTGAGAGTGGTTGCCTGTAGAAATATGGGATTAGGGGTGAGGAGATGAGAAGCATGAAATTGATGTTTTTGTTAGAATCTTTATGGAACTATGTGACCTTCTAAACCATGGATCTGTATACCTTAAATAAAAGTAAAAATCAAATTTAAAAAAAGTGAATAGCAGTAATTTTTTCCCCTCTCTGTGAGAGGAGAAATAATGTTTGAAATCATTCGTGAAGCAATCTATATCTGGCCGGATAGCTGCTTGAGCTGTCAGCTACCATAGCTTGTTGGGCTTCCCCCCCACTCTATGTTTTCTAAATTAGAAAATCTTAACTCAGAATTATAGGTTGTTGGGAAGCTTTGACAGATACTTCTGGCTTTTCAGATCAAATGCAGATTCTGAAATTATGGAGAGAGTTCTCTCTAAAGACTATTTGCAGTATTTCACCAGAGGACAAGTGCCCCAGTTTAGTGCCACTGAAAGCTAGAAGGTTAAAGGTTTCAACCTGGGAGACAGCGGCTGATGGAGTCACACCCTCCCTTCGGTGGCATCTGGCTCCGAAGGTATTTGTGCATGTTCAATTGCAGCATTTGGACGTGATTTTTAATATGCAACGACATATCTTAGGTGTTTTTTCCTGATAAATGGAGAAAATCGTTGGTGTGGGGGAAAAGTGAAACTTTCAGCCACTGAGCCCTTTGTACCACTGTTCAGTTTTAAGAAATCTTGATGTCTAGTCATTAAAAATCCTGATATTTGGCCTTGAAGTCAAAGACCCATACTATTCAAAATCTTAAGTGTAATACTGAGACATGCCATGTATATTCACAGAAATGACCATTTAAAAAGATTTCATTCCTTATTTTAAAACACTGCAAACCATTTTTTGTTTGCCAGCCAGAGCAATTTAGCACTGGAGAGCATCTTATACTCACTATTCATTTCATCCCTGTGGTCTGGAGATACATATACTAAGTGACCGCAA